AATGAAAGGCCAGGCCTCAGGAACTAAAGGCTAGTGTGAAATTCAACAGTGGCCAGCGCCGCAGCTCAATAGGCTAATCCTCCACCTACCGGTGCCGGCACACCGGGTTCTAGTCCCGGTCGGGGTGCCGGATTCTTTCCCGGTTGCCCCTCTTCCAGGCCAGCTCGCTGCTGTGGCCAGGGAGTGCAGTGGAGGATGGCCCAAGTCCTTGGGCCCTGCACCCCATGGGAGACCAGGAGAAGTACCTGGCTCCTGGCCTCGGATCAGAGCGGTTCGCCAGCCGTGGCGGCCATTGGAGGGTGAACCAACGGCAAAGGAAGACCTTTCTCTCTGTCTCTCTCTCTCACTATCCACTCTGCCTGTCGCAAATTAAAAAAAAGAAAGAAAAAGAAAGAAAGAAATTCAACAGTGGATGCAGTAATATTGCATTCTCATGACTCACCAGCACCTCTGTCTCACTCTATTTTCCTTTCTTAGCTCAGCGCTGTCTCTAGCATATATTACATTAAAAATTCAGAAGAATGAAAATTTCATTGATTCAATAGCCACATACAGTTATCACCTTCCTTCATGGGTTAGTTCTTGCCTCAAGTTCCAGGCTATCCTGTGAATCAGCATTAATTATCTTGACTACAATCTGTCATAACAAACATATACTACATGTGATCTTAACCAAATTATGTGCTTTATACTCTTATATTTTCTGTTCTTAATCCTATCCTATTCTAGTCTAGTCCATTCATTTAAAAATTACTAGTTGTGACGTACTAAAGTGATTTCACAACTCTCAAGTTGTAAAACAATGCTGTTGATCAGTGCTTCTTAAACTATAATGTATACACACATCACCTAGGTTTTTTCTTAAAAAAATCAGATTCTAATTCAGTAGGTCTGAAATTCTGTGTTTCTAAAAAACACTCTGGTGGTGTTGCTTCTTGTGGTCTGTGGCCCACACTTAGATGTAAGCCCAGAGTTAAGTTTTTGTAGACCAGTTTCATTTATTTATTTATTTATTTAAATATTATTTATTTATTTATTTGAAAGGTAGAGTTACAGATAGTGAGAGAGACAGAGAGGTCTTCCATCCGCTGGTTCACTCCCCAAATGGCCACAATGGCCGGAGATGGACGGATCTGAAGCCAGAAGCCAGGAGCTTCTTCCGGGACTTCCATGCATGTGCAGGGGCCCAAGCACTTGGGTCATCCTCCACTGTTTTTCCAGTCCATTGTAGACAGCTGGATTGGAAGTGGAGCAGCCGGGACTTGAATCGGTGCCCATATGGGATGCCAGCACCGCAGGCAGAGTATTAACCTACTGTGGCACAGTGCCAGCCCCCCCAATCTCATTTAAACAACCAAGGGAAGAGTCTTAGAATCTGACTATAAAGCAGGGGGCCCCATGTATAGACATCTTTGACCACTGCTGGAAAAGAGCGGTGGCTATGGAAGGCATATATAGCACAGTATAGACTCTTACCTAGTATGGTGACATTTAGTTCAGATCTTACACACAATAGTATTCATTTAATGAATGTTTATTTTTTGAACGCTTACCATACGTCAGGCCCAGTTCTGGGATAAGGTCTTCCTCTTTGTATTTCACATTTTAGTGGAGTGAACAATTAAGTCTCTAATTTCTGGTTATGGAAAGTGCAGAAGTGCAGAGAAGGATGAAACAGGGTGAAGAGACAGATAATGGCAACGCGAGACACTGGATGTTTTAGATGAGGTGTTTCAGCAGTGTCTCCCTGGGTCAGTGACATATGACAGAGACCTGAATGAAGTGAGAGAACCTTAGGGAGAGCTGGGGGAAGAGCAGTCAAGACAGAATGCGGCAAGAGCCCAGGCCTGAGTAGGGGACAAAATGGTGATGGAGGGTGCAGCACAAAGACAGTTCTGACTAGTGAGGAAAGTGAAAGATCTGTTCATGTGGGACTTTACAGACTGAGGTCAGTTTGGGATTTATGCTAGAGGTGACTGGGAAAGACTGGAAAATGACGTTGAATCTTAGTTTCAAGTGACCACTTCAGTATGGGTGGATAGGTGGTGAAAGCACTACAGAAGGGCAGGAGTAGAAGCGTGGGGACTGGTTAGGGCACATAACCCTGTGGCGGCAGACCATACTGAACCATGATGTCCACTTGCACGTGTGCATAATTTTTAGCACAGGGGATACGTTGAAGTATTTTGTACCTGTGAAGTATTATAAGACTGAAAATATGAAGACAGGCACTTCTATTGAGAGCTTTGGTTAATTATGCATATCTAACATTGCAGGATGCCAAATTCAACAAAGGATATGTCAGTGAAAAATACAATAAATTGCCCCGTCTTTCCATAAATTGGATTTTCTAGGTGAGGGCTGAGCCTGCATAGGTCAACCTGACCTCCACCCTCCAGTGTGCAGATATCAGAGTAGAAAATCTTATCTGCCTAAGAGAATCAGTGTTTCATGCCCTGGGGTTGCCTCAGGTAGCAGCATAGGAATGTGGCTTTTGCTTTAAAGAATCAGGCAATATACAATGGTTCCAAGCACCATCCCCCTCCTTTCTCAGAGGTGATGCTATCTCCTCTTGACCCTTCTGTGCAGATGCAGTTTCCTCCTGAACTGCTGATCTCATTTTCCATATTATACTAAATTTAAAAAGTCACCAGTGTGGATGATATACCATTATGGATTATATCACATAGAAAACAATACTGCCAACTTAGTATATAAAACATCAAATATAAGATGAGCTTCAATTTCAGAGACACTAAAGTGTGGAAAACACATGCTTCTTAAAATTGATGAAATATTTATTGCCATCACCATCCATTTAGAAAGAAACCTGCAGGTCACCACAGGCCACCCTCTCTCAACCCTCACATCCTACAGATGACCAGTCACTGGAGTTTCTACTTCTCAGATCTCACAAATTCCTGCTTTATCTTCCACTTTGGAAACTTACCTGCCTAAACTAGCCAGGATAACTTCACTGGCCACGTGACACTTCTTACATTAAATGCAGAAGGATATTACAAACTATAAATATGATGATTTCACTACTAGATTAAAATACTACAGAAAAAACGCCTGACCTCCTCTTTATATCCTACACATACTTTGGATTCTCGTCTTCACCCCTTTTTCAAGTAGGTTCAGGTACATACAAATAAATGTATGTACAGATTTGGTTCTGCCCCTTCTTCCCTTTCTGCCTTGAAAATCTCTACTTCTCCTTCAAGAATCTGGGGCTTGGTGTTGTGTTGTAGCAGGTAAAGCCACCACCTGCAACACTGGCATCCCAATGTGGGCACTGGTTCGAGACCCAGCTGCTCCATTTCCAATCCACCTCCCTGCTAATATTTCTGGGAAAGCAGCCAAAGATGGCCCAGGTGCTTGAACCCCTGCATACACATGGGAGACCCAGAAGAAGCTCCTAGCTCCCGGATTTGGCCTGGCCCAGCCCTGGCTGCTGTGGCCATTTGGGGAATGAACTAGAAGATGGAAGATCTCTCTCTCTCTCTCTCTCTCTCTCTCTCTCTCTCTTTCTCTTTCTGTAACTAACTCTTTCAAATAAATAAATAAATAAATGTTATAAAAAAAGAGCAAATGTCTTCTCCTCAGTAAGCTTTCTTCGATGCTCTCTGGGCTCACTCTCAAAGGACCGAATTACGTCTTCCTCTGTTGTGGCTGGCTTATAGGCCTCCACGATGGTTTGTAATTACTTCCACTTCTGCACTGTGAGCCCCTTAAGGTCAATAAATATATTCTTTCTTTTTCTTTTTTTTTTATTTTTGACAGGCAGAGTGGACAGTGAGAGAGAGAGAGACAGAGAGAAAGGTCTTCCTTTACCGTTGGTTCACCCTCCAATGGCCGCTGCGGCCGGCGCACCGCGCTGATCCGAAGCCAGGAGCCAGGTGCCTCTCCTGGTCTCCCATGTGGGTGCAGGGCCCAAGCACTTGGGCCATCCTCCACTGCACTCCTGGGCCACAGCAGAGAGCTGGCCTGGAAGAGGGGCAACCGGGACAGAATCCGGCGCCCCAACTGGGACTAGAACCTGGTGTGCCGGCACCACAAGGCGGAGGATTAGCCTAGTGAGCCGCAGCGCCAGCCAATAAATATATTCTATACAGTGTCCTATCTTCAACATTTGGTCCTGGCACACAAGCAGCTTCTTAGCAAATGTTTGCCAGATGAGTAAGTAAATTATGTGAAACTGTGAAAGAACCATGCTTAATACATAATCACAAGATACAAAAGTTAAGAAACATCAACCACTCAAATTTTGAAGAGGGAGTCAGGACCAAAGAAAGGAAAGGCTTGGTTCCCTTTGCCTTCCTCAGCCCCAACTGCAAAATCCACTGTGGTTTCTTGAGGCCACAGAGCAGCTGAGGCCCCTGCTTACGGCCTCTGTGCCTACTGTGTTCTCTGAACCTAGGTTCTTGAAGTAAAGCAAACTGGGGAGCATAGAACTTGGATATCTTTCTGTTATCCACCTTCATAGTCAAAAAAAGGAATCTCGATTTATAGCTGTTTTTTCTTTCCTTTTTTTTTTTTTTTTTTTTTTTTGGACAGGCAGAGTTAGTGAGAGAGAGACAGAGAGAAAGGTTTTCCTTTTCTGTTGGTTCACCCTCCCCCACCAAATGACCGCTACAGCCGGTGTGCTGTGCCCATCCGAAGCCAGGAGCCAGGTGCTTCCTCCTGGTCTCCCACGTGGGTGCAGGGCCCAAGTACTTGGGCCATCCTCCACTGCCGTCCCAGGCCACAGCAGAGAGCTGGACTGGAAGAGGAGCAACCGGGACAGAATCCGGTGTCCCAACTGGGACTAGAGCCCGGGGTGCCGGCGCCACAGGCAGAGGATTAGCCAAGTGAGCTGCGGCACTGGCCTAGATTTATAGCTGTTTGATCCACATGAATTATTATCAAAAATCATAATTGATAATCTGTAAAGATACTCAACAACAGCAAGAACCCCTATCAGATTTTTCTATGTAATTCTCCATTAAGGACAGATGGTTAGAAACCAGAAAATTCCAAAGAAATTCTATTAGTTCAGTATGTGAATTGTTCTTTTAAGTTTTTCTAAGGTCAAGAGTTTTTTCTTTCCATTTTACACATTTCTATACCCTCAGGCCTCATATATTGTAGTACTTTATGGGTATTTAATACATGTTGATTGAAAGATGTTGAAAGGAGATACTTACCTTGAAATTTTTCCAACTTTGTTTTTGCCTTGGGCTTACTTCTTTCAAATCCGGACCAACAACAAGGAAAAACATACCCAGACTCTAAGCCACAAAAATAATGACTGCTTCTCTATGGTCTTATGTTACTGTAAAATAAATATCACAATAAATGTACAAAGCAACGTTCAAAAAGTAGGTCAGAAATAAATAGATCTCTATTACAAAGAAGGTGAGGCACAAAATTTCTGAGTCCTGTGTATTAATCTAGTGTGGTTTACAGAGTTATGAAAGGTTTGAACAATAAAAGAGACTATAAAGTCTATTCAGGAAGTTAAAAGAGGGGCCCGCGTTGTAGTACACTGGGTTAAGCGACTACCTGAGATGCCAGCATCACTTATCAGCACCAGTCTGTGTTCTGCTGCTTCATTTCTGATCCAATTCCCTTCTAAAGTGCCTGGGGAAGCAGCAGAAGACAACCTAAGTGCTTGGACACCAATGGGGAAGACCCTGATGGAGTTCCAGGCTCCTGGCTTTGGCCTGGTCCAGCCCTGGCCATAGTAGCCATTTGGGAAGTGAACCAGCAAATGGAAAATATCTCTCTCTCTCTCTCTCTCAGTTTCTCTCTTTGTGTGTGTACGTGTCTCCTTCCATCTCTGTTAACTCTGCACTTTAAATAAATAAATAAATCTTTAAAAAAGGTAAATTAAGGGAAAATAAGAAAAAGAGTTATATTGAAAAAGACAACTACATTGAGCCATAAAATATTGCCATCTTAGAGTAATAAGATGGTTGACTATCAGTAACTTTATCAGTTCAATCTAATTACAAAAAGGTGTGTGAAATGTAGGAAAAGTATTTCTAAAAGTAGAATATGTTCATGCCATGTTAGCATTCTGAAGAAATCAACTGTTAGTATCAGCCAGAGATCATATAGCGTATTTGTTAAGATATAAATTATTTTCATTAATATCATTTTTCTAGTTTAAAAAATGTTTAAATTGACAAAACTTGGATGATTTTTAATCACATAAAATGTTATTTGGAAATAGATATACATTGTGGAATACCTAACTGAACTAATTAGTATATGTATTAGCTAACATCATTTTTTGTACTGAGAATACTAAAAATCTACTCTGAACACTTCTCAAGAATACAGTGCTATTAACTATTGCACTGCATAAAACAATAGACCTCTTCTTATCCTGCTCTGACTGAAATTTTGTGCTTTTTGACTGGCATTTAGCAAACTCTCCCCAATATGCCCCCTAGTTCCTGTTAACCACCGTTGTCCTCTCAACTATTTCAGATTCCACATATATGTGAGATCATGGGGTATTTGCCTTGCTGCATCTGGCTTATTTCACTTAGCATAAGGTTTTATAGTGCTATCCATGTTGTCATAAATGTAAAGATTTCCTTCCTTTTCCAGGCTGAATAGTATTCTATTGTGTATATACCATATTTTCTTTATTCATTCTTTCATTAACAGACACTTATATAGATTCTATATCTTGGTTATTGTGAAAAATGCTGTAATGAACAAGGTAGTGCAGAAATCTCTTGAACATACTGATTTCGTTTCCTTTGGCTTACATAGCCAGTGGTGGGATTACTGGATCATATAGTAGTTAACAAGATAGGAATTTTGAAGTCAAATTTTCTTTAATTGAATCACAGATATACCACTTACTATGTCATCTTGGTCTAGTCACTTAATTTTTGCCACCCCACTTTCTTCACCTGCAAAAGAAAAATAATAATATCTCCTTTGGTTTTTTTGTAGGTTAAATGGGATAAAACTGTAATGAGCTTTATTGTTCCTGGCAGTTATCAAGTGTCTACTAAATAAATGATGTTATTTCTATCAGTCCTCTTCAGTCAGACATGAAACCATGAAGACATCAATCACTTATGTAGGGGTGAAATAAGATTTGGAGTTCTTAATTATTTTTACAGATCTACTAGGGAGATCAGACTTTGGGATCAAACAGCTGGATTTATCTTTGGGGAAATTTATTTACCTTTTTTTGGTATCATCTTTTCACCTGTAAAACAGACAAAGGATTGTTCCTAATTCATCAACTTGTTGTGAAAAGTAAATGAAATTATTTTTGTAAAATCTGCGAAAGGGAACTTACAAAGACCTTAATAAGTGGCAACTATTACTACTAGTAGTAATGAACTGTGTTGACCCATACACTGCTCAATTTCCTAAAATACACAATTTGAAAAACAGCTTAAAATGTTTATTTCACAAACTTTCCTTTGAATATTCTGTAATTGTCATTGCCCAGTTATATTCTAAAGCAAATTAGAGGCCAGTGCTGTGGTTCAACAGGCTAATCCTCCACCTTGCGGCGCCGGCACACACTGGGTTCTAGTACTGGTCGGGGCGCCGGATTCTGTCCCGGTTGCCCCTCTTCCAGGCCAGCCCTCTGCTGTGGCCAGGGAGTGCAGTGGAGGATGGCCCAAGTGCTTGGGCCCTGCACCCCATGGGAGACCAGGAGAAGCACCTGGCTCCTGCCATCGGATCAGCGCGGTGCGCCGGCCGCAGCATGCCGGCCGTGGCAGCCATTGGAGGGTGAACCAACGGCAAAGGAAGACCTTTCTCTCTGTCTCTCTCTCTCACTGTCCACTCTGCCTGTCAGAAAAAAAAAAAAAAAAAGAGAGAATTAGAATTTTTTTTAAAGATTTTATTTCACTTATTTGAAAGACAGAGTTACAGAAAGAGGTAGAGAAGGAGAAAGAGAGGTCTTCCATCGAATTGTTCATTCCCCAAGTGGCCACAATGGGTGGAGCTGGGCCAGTTCAGAGCCAGGGGCCACGAGCCAGGAGCGTCTTCCAGGTCTCCCACACAGGAGACCTGGGGCTCAAGCACTTGGACCACCTTCTACTGCTTTCCCAGGAGATAGCAGAGAGCTGGATCAGAAATGGAGCAGCTGAGACTTGAACCAGCACGCATATGGGATGCTGGCACTGCTGGTCAGCACTTTAACCCATTGTGCCACAGTGCCAGAGGTAGTCTCCATTTAATACAATTCAAATGTACAATGTTATAATTTCAAAATGAGAACCATATGAAAACATTCAAACATTAAAAATATTACTTAGGAGCCTGGATTTTGGAGCATTGGATTAATCTGCCTCTTAGGACACTGGCATCCCATATCAGAGTTCAGGTTCAAGTCCTGGCTGTTCCACTTCTGATCCAACTTCCTGTTAATATGCCACATGGGAGACCAGGATGGGGTTTCCAGATCCCAGCTTTGGCCTGACCCAGCCCTGGTTGTTGTAGACATATGGGGAGTGAACCATCACATGGAAGATCTCCCTCTCTCTCTCTCTTATTCTGTCTTTTAAATAAAAAGTCAATCTTATAAAATATTACTTAACATCTCAAAAAAACATAGTTTCTAATTGTAAAGTTCTATACAACAATTTTTTTGAATATTTATTTACTTGAAATAAAACAAAAATTTTAAGAAATCAAATAAAAATACTGTTTCATCTTTGGTAAAGAAGGCATATTTTGTTACTGAAGGGGAGGCACCTCCAGGGTGCTATAAGCATAGTAAAGGGGGTGCTATATATCTGAAGGAACAGCTCAGATGCCATTTTTCTTTCTTTCCTTTAGAGCTCTAAGTCATGCTCTAATTCATAGGCTTCAACTCTCAGGAAATATCCTTCCAACAAGAATGTTCTTAAATGTAGTAATTTAACAGTAGGGAGGAATGACCAAGGGTATTTGCTGAGACTGATTTACAAAATTTGAGAGTGAAATAGAACAGAAGAAGAGATCAGCTCAGACAGAGTCTCGAGGTAGAGAAGCATTGTTTAGAAAGACACTCCCTTGGATCCATGTGTTCATAGGGAAAAAGAATGATTTAAAAGATGATACCATTGTTGTACATGTGGTTAATGGAAAGAGCAATATTAATGGTTATAGGAAAAGTACTTTTATATAACTTGAAAAGGTAGAAATTGATACACAACCTCCAACACTTCATTGACCAGGAATGTGTTTTTCCCTGAGGCTCCGCGGCATTAAAGCCACATGAAATATTTCATTGTCTTGTGATTCATAGCGCCGGCACATCTTACATCACAGCCAATTAAAGAAGAGTGCGTGTTCCTACACATCATCTTCCCTCCGAGAAACTGAGGAACGTGAAGGCAAGTGACACTGTCAGAAGTCAAATCTTCACTCCGGCATTGAATACTTCTGCTCATTTCTTCTTTCGGAGCTCTGTAACTGACTCCGAAGTTTCTGCTTCCGATGTTACGGTGTGCTTCTATGTTTTTTGATTTCTATCTGTCTGCAACAGTTTAGTTTTGGTTTGAATTAGGCAGAGGGGCTGGTAGCCCCCTTCTACATGCATTTGTTTTGATTTCAAAAGGAATGAGTCAGTATGGCACAGTGGCTACAGTTCATTATTTGGTTTCAGACAGGCCCAGATAAAATTCTTGGCTTATTTTGACCAAGTCTCTAAGCCTCTGTTTCCTCACTTGTAAAATGAGTATGATACTAATGTTTGCTGCTTTTGTTTGTTGAGGCATTATTTGCATGCAGACACTCAGCATAGTGTTTAGCACATGGTAAAACCCAATGGTGGCCGGCGCCGCGGCTCACTAGGCTAATCCTCTGCCTAGCGGCGCCGGCACACCAGGTCCTAGTCCCGGTCGGGGCGCCAGATTCTGTCCTGGTTGCCCCTCTTCCAGGCCAGCTCTCTGCTGTGGCCAGGGAGTGCAGTGGAGGATGGCCCAAGTGCTTGGGCCCTGCACCCGCATGGGAGACCAGGAGAAGCACCTGGCTCCTGCCTTCGGATCAGTGTGACGCGCCGGCCACTGGAGGGTGAACCAATGGCAAAGGAAGACTTTTCTCTCTGTCTCTCTCTCTCACTGTCCACTCTGCCTGTCAAAAAAAAAAAAAACAAAACAAACAAACAAAAAAAACAATGGTATGATGATTACTTTTGAGCTGTTCATTAGATAATGGTTGGAGAAATATAGGAACCGTAGAATGACATTTGCTTATTAGATGGGTTTCAAGTCTTTCTTGCTTCATGACACATCCTTAAGCAATAATAATCTCTTTTGCATTGGTATTAATTGCACACATTGACACATCTTTATTATTATTTTCCATGGAAGGTAGAGATTATCATCTCAAAGACTGGGATAAAAAGACCAGAAATGAGACTTCTGCTTGTGGGGAAATAAAGTATATGTACCTTTTCCTACTCATACCATTAAGTACAACTTAAAACCCTGAATATCACCTGTAAAACAAATATAAATAGACTGAAAGATGGTGAGAAAAAAGCATCCCAGCTAGGAGCCCTGAGACCCAACTAATGACAGGGCAGCTTCTTTTTTTGTTTTGTATATATTGGATTGGGTGCTGGGAAAGCTCATAGTCTTTAAAGTTCAACAGCCACAGACCAAGGCACAGGTCTCTGAAGGCGGGACCAGGAAAGGCCCAATGGGGAGTCAGGGCTTTGGTCCTCTCCAGGCTGACATGAAGCACCCTATCTGCCCCAGTGACCAGGTAGCAGAGAAGGCTGGGTAGGGAGCTGGCACCTTCATCCCCTGTGGGGAGCAACTCGGACTGGACTGAGTTACTGGAATTAAGACTTATTCTATGCATCTGCTCTCCCACAATATGGCGCTGGGAGAGGAGAAAACAGCTTCTACTCAGCTGCCTCTTGCCAACTTGAGTGATGACCTCCAGGAGCTGATCCTGCTCCTGATTGGAGGAGAGCAGCGTACTCGGCGTGTGGGCAGCCGAATTGGGATTGGCGGAGGAGGACTATAAAGGAGGAGAGAGACGGCATGCACCAGGAACATCTAAGAGGAACATCTAAGGGGAACACCTGTGCAGCCCCCGAGAGAGCAGGCCGGCGGTGTGCCGCTCCCTCGCGGAAGTGGGGAATGTGGCAGGGGGAACCGCCCTTCCACGGAGGTGGAAGGACCAGCAGCCAACCCGGGAAGAACCAGCAGCAAACCTGGGAAGGGCCGAGCAGACAGAAGAACAGCGCAGGGTCCTGTGTCGTTCCTCCACGAAGACGGGGAGCGACAATCCCCATTAGACAGCTATGAGCTTCCTACCCCCACACTCCACAATGACAGTTCCAGGGTAAGGAATGTTCCAGCTCACAAAACCTTTTCATCTAACCCTGCCAAGGCAACTGTAGGTTGCCACCGCCTGCAGTGCCAGCATTCCATATGGGCACCGGTTCTAGTCCCGGCTGCTCCATTTCCAATCCAGCTCTCTGCTGTATCCTGGGAAAGCAGTGGAAGATGGCCCAAGTCTTTGGCCCCCTGCACCAGAAGAAACTCCTGGCTACTGGCATTGGCCATTGCAGCCATCTGAGGAGTGAACCAGCAGATGGAAGACCTCTCTCCCTCTCACTGCCTCTGCCTCTCTGTAACTCTGCCTTTCAAATAAATAATTAAATCTTTTTTTAAAAAAAGAAATTCAATAAATCTATAGCAGGCTAATTTTTAAGTTGCTAATTTTATATGGCCTGCAAATGATGTAATGTATATCCCAAAGGCCCCTGACAGAAAAATGTTCCTCACCTCTGGCAGGGAGCCTAGCCCGCCATCCACACTTGGCAGTCACTGAGTATCCCTCGCCCCCTCCACTGTGGTGGGATCAGAGGAGGCATAGTGGACAGACAGGACATTTACCATTGCCCAGTAGTAAGAAAGCCAAAATGTGGTAGCTGTTCGAAAGGGGCCTTTGGGATATATATTACATCATTTGCAGGCCATATAAAATCAGCAACTTAAAAATTAGCCTGCTATAGATTTATTGAATTTCTTTTTTAAAAAAATTTAATTATTTATTTGAAAGGCAGAGTTACAGAGAGGCAGAGGCAGATGGAAGAGCTCCCTTTCTCTCTCTGTAACTCTGCCTTTCAAACAAATACATAAATCTTTAACAACAGCAACAAAAAAAAAGTTTTTTCAAAGAAATACTAACTGAAATTATCCCAAATGTGACAAAAGACACAAACCTATTGATTCTAGAAACTAAGTATAAACATAAAGAAACCTACCACAGAAGTATTATAATAAAAT